AACCATCCAGTTGTTCGGTCAGTGGTTGTTTGAGTCGGTCGATTGGTCGTTGTATCATTTCGAGGTATGTGCCGCTCCGTTGCAATCTAATATCGCGTCGCCTGTGAAATGGGGGGAAATTTTTAGAATTTTTAGCAGTGGTGCTTCAATGTGAAGTGTTTTCAGTTTGAATAAAAAAACCAAATGTCATTCATATTTGTGAAAATGTATTCATTTTACAAGTTTCGTTCGGAAAACTACATACAAATCGGAAGAATAACAAGAACAAGCAACAATCCCAACTGCTGCTGAAGAACAAAAGTGTATCCAATTGGAATTATCGATTAAACAAAATAATCGTCAATAAACTATTACAAAAACGTTCATCGTTCCTATATATCCGGCCAATCTGGTATCGTGATATATTTAAAAGGGTTCAAAATAATTTGAAAGTGTGAGAAAAGCAATTAATGCAAATTAAAGCTGTGAGATTAACAAAGAAATTACCTTTACCCTCATCATCGCCCCACATTTTAAGCATGGATTATTTACAAAGCCTGTATGCCCGCATTATGGGTATTAATTTTCAAGAGATTGGTTCTTTGGGCTTCTCATCCAATGACTCCATGTAAGTTTCCGCCAGTGTTCTTCTTCAAGTGACTTTTATTTTTGTTCTTTACCTTGGCAAATGATGTAATAGCGGCAAACAATTTTTAATGTTTTCTTGTTTCTTGTGTTTTTCATATCTGCTTGGCTGGCTGTTTTGTTTTTTGCCGATTCTCTACCTAACAAATGGCAAAAAAAAAAACAACTGAATTTTATTTAGACCACGCAAAGTTGTTGCCTTTGGCAATGTTCTACTCGACCAGACGGCCCATTTGACAGACACCCAATTGTTGGAACGTTACAAATTATCTTTAAATACTAGAGCAGAATTAGATGTGGAGACCTTAACGAAGGTGACGACCGAAGCCATTAGCAACAATAAGTAAGTAATGCCTTTTGATTTCATTAATGTTGCCATTTTTTTTTGATAATTTAAGTGCTCTTCTCTTTATTTTAGCAACCAACATGAGGATCCCCATCTGGGCGGTTCGGCCTTAAACACAGTGCGTATACTCAAACGTTTGGGCACTGAGCCAATGTTTTTTGGTGCCGTCGGTGATGATAAACATTCCGTAATTGTTGAGGATCTATTGAAAAAGGATGGCATGGATAATATGTAAGTGAAAATTAAACACGAAAAGTAGACCATGTTGGGTGTCCCACTTTTCAATTTAGACACATGTAAAACTGAATAAGACGTTAGTTACGCATGGGTGAGCTTTTTATAAATTTCGTGAAGAAAAATGTAATTTTTTGAAAATAACTTCTTTCCAACTGTAACAATAATGGTGTTGAAACAGTGCTTCCTGCTACACAATCGACTGAATAATAAAACCCGACAAGATAAACTGGTTTGAAAATATAAATGAAAAGTCGTTTTTGAGATAAATATTTGTTCCATCTTTAAAATTTTGAGAGGGTTATCCATTTCGTGGTTTCAAAATTAATCGTAAATATAATTTTTTATAATCACGACAGAGAACGCAATATATAAGATAGAGAACTGAGAAGTTTGCACAGACATTTCTAGTACTCCTAGGATGTTTGGTATTGCAAATGGTATATATCGGTCCACGTTTTTGTGTAGGCCCATATATAAGGTTCAAAAATGTGTCTATAACCCCAAAATATCGAATATTGGGGGGTAATGTAGTATGCCACTTTATTGCAGAGCTGTATGTTTCAGTTTAGGTTCTTAAAAATTGATTCAAATTAACAGTTTAACCATTAGGACCTCTGTCGGCCAAATGCATTTCTCATGATCCCGCTCATACATCATTTATTACCATTTTCCCTTGTTCATTAGTATCTTCATCAATTTTTAGGCCTGGAAGTAGCATTAGATATCACCTTAACAAAGGTTTCTTCCCAGAATATTTGTAGAAACTCGGCCATTTTGTCACCTATCACCTCAGTGTTAAGTTGAAATTTTAAGAAGTTAAGAATTTATAATAATTCTTTCGAAACATATACGATTTTAATCCACCACAAAAACCATATTGCTTTCTGATTTAATCATCAGGTGAGTTTCACTCAATTTCTCAGTGAAGTTATTCAGAAATTTATTAGTGCTCAATTTTTTAGATAAGTGCTAAATTCGGACAAAAATTCAGACCAATTGATGAAACATTAACCATCCCATCGTATTCTCTTTTTTTTACAATTATTGTAACTGGTAATATGAGCCCTTTTAGTTTCTTTATAAATCTTTAAAGTTTGCTCTTATTTAGATTGATTGTCTGATTTAAGTGAGCGCACCCTCCTTTACACAACTCCAGAGAAACATATGGAATTAGAAACATTGCTTTGCTATCAAAGCCGTACGCTCAGTTCCATCTGATTGCCTTGGTATAAAGACGTTTCAAGTGTACAAAGTGGATATAAATAATAAGTGCGAAGAAGAAATAAAAGTATTGAAACTGAGATATCGAATATTTATATTCTACATAACGACGTCATATTGCACATTAAGTACATATAGCATTCAAGATTTCCAAAGCACGGCAAATTTACCAAGGTTGAGTGCTAAGTGTTCAATAATTCCGGAAAAAGCTAAATTTTACAACCATTACTAACATAATTATTGCCTAGAAGAAGAAAGGAGTTGAAGGCGAAAATATCATCGGAAATTATATACAAAAATTGCAAAATTTTGATAAGCTTCGCCAGTGAGCCAACGAAGCAAACAGCCAACAATTAACATCATAATCATCAATCTTCATTATCATCCCATCAAACTTCATTATCATATATTACAATAATCTGGTTTGTTAAAGAATTTAAGGTACCGTTTCAGTAAGTAGTCAAATCAATACACACTTGCAGCTACAAATATATCACGAACTACGAAAGAGCACTGTTAAAATATAGCTCCTCTTCTCCATTCCACTTTGTTTCGGAATACTGTGTAGGTTGTATTGGTTCCGCTACTCACTGAACATTTAACATTACAATTTGATATTAACATAGACTACCCTGTAAATAATTAGGTCACTGTATAACAAGACATAATCATTTGTATTTCTCTGCTTGTCATCACCATCAAGAAAACTGTTAACATAAAGTGAAATTACCAGCGTTATTCATCGCAGTCAACGCATCGGAAGATCTTTCGACGGCAGCGACGAGCAGTGTTTATGTAAGTAAGTGAATATTTTTTATTCTGATCTCACATTATCTTAGTAACATTGAAGAGTTACATTGTTAGCAAGTAACAGCTGATGCTGTGTGACATGCAAAGAAATTAACATATAATATCATTAGCGCTTTTAAATACATTTGGGTTTATGCAGATACTGCATTTAATACTTTAAATACAGTGGGGTACTCTTACCTAGTACTCATATTTGAAAAGTTAGGTATTTATTGCCACTTAAAATATAGCGACTATCATAAGGTTATAATGGATGAATTTTACGAATTTTTATATTTTATCTTCATCTAAATTTATTGTTAAGCATGTTTATTTAGGATTAAGATGAATATATTCTTTGAATTTCTATTAAAGCATGGATAATTGTTATTATATATTCTAGAATAAATATACTCAATATGAGTTTGGAGTAAATTCAGTGTTGTCTGTTTGAGGATTTGTTAGTATAAACTGGATTAGCCTTGTGTTTGGGTATTACCACAAATTTGTTGACGGAATGTATAACATGGTAATAATGGAGGGAGGGCTAGTTAGGTATTATACCACCTAAAAACCTAACATTTGAGAGCAGTACTGATTTCAACTTTCCTTCTATCTATATTCTTTCACATAAGCACGCAAATCTTATTATTTGTATTATCGTCAAATGGCACAAGTACAATTAAAGCAACGAACTCCCCCATTCCGTCGAGCAAGAAGGCCGGTGACAATGCGTGCTAAAGCTTTACTAGTGCTTGAGATCACATCTGCCTATAAATTGAGATCATCTATTAAGTGCGATAGTACAAAAATGGCGCCCAACGTGGGGCCAGAACGATTGGAGATATATATATATATATATTAAACAAAATCACACTCTTGCTGCTTTTAGCGTACAAAAATCAATAGTTCTGTCCCTTTCAAAAAGTTTCCTCTATACCAACATCTAAATATTTTCCAATTTCAATTTTCTTAACTATTTGGTATCCAGATAACGAGGGAATATGGATTTGATCAGGACTTCACGTCATTCTTTCCAGCCTCGGTTTCAGGATTACTATTACCTTTACTTCTAAAACTATAACTAGTCTCGTTACTGTCACTTTTCTTAAGGTTTGGAATGCAACTACTGGATAGGTATCTGGTGTTGACCACTTTATGAAATGACTTTAATGAGTCTTGCCTCCCATGTCATATTTGTGAAAACTGAAAATGTGATTTTCTTTCCAGTATGACACACTGTTTTACTCTCTTTCGAAATTAGTTCACTGTTCAAAATATTTCACAGCTTCCAGTTTGATACAACAATCACTTCCAAACAGACATATATATTTTTCCTTAAATAAATTAGGATTTCTTTTTTGATATCTTGTAGTAGGCTATATTGGCCTCTAATTTTAGTTTTCGTTTATTAACATATTCCCAGGTTTACTTTCACTTTGTTTTATAAGTTCTGTAGACCTTTCCAAGAACTTAGGAGCTATGGCGTTGAACAACACTGAAGTCCCGAGTGTGAGTGGTGATTCAGGTGAATCGATTATATGCAATGCTTGCGTAAATCCCATAACCACGAAGTCACACATGTATAAAACAGATTGTGGACATGTATTTCACAAAAGCTGTCTACTATCGTGCACCAAAACACGACCATACTGTCCAGTTTGTAACGCAAGGGTGAGTTTAGAACCTCCCACTCCTAGTGCATCCATTATCACGACTAGGTCGCAAAAAAGATTGACCACCCAAAAAACAGGTAGTCAGGAAGTGAGAGAAACAGAAAACGCATCTACAGTTGCCGATGATTCCTTAAATACTGTGCCTTTAGCTTCGAATCCTACAAACACAAATCCAGCTTCAGATATTAGGGAAATGGTAACAACAATGCTTGCTGCGCATCAAGCACAGATGATGACCTCGCTAGGGAATGAGATTTCTCGCTTGGTACAATCTAGTTTAGAAGCCAACTTATCAAGACTTAATATTAATAATGGTACGACTCCTCATTCCAATCATGGACCCCCACATATCCATCGTACACCAACAAATCAAATGCCAACTCTGCCCGACGTTGAACAGCAGACTCTTAGAGACATTTTTGGAATTCAATCGAACAACCTTAACAATAACAGAAGGACTTCCAGTAGTGGTCACAACCAACCTACAACTGCTCTACACTTTCAAAATTCTGGATCCTCATGGTCCTCGGACCTTTGTGCCCACCCAGATAAGGTTCTTCAAATTATTTCCAACTGGAAAATCAAATTTAACGGTGGGAATTGTGGTCTAACCGCAGAAAATTTTATTTATCGAGTCGAAGCGCTCACTTCTCAGACTCTACAGGGTAATTTTGACATTCTTTGCAGTAATATCAGTGCTTTATTCGACGGTAAAGCGAATGACTGGTATTGGCGTTACCACCGATCGGTACCAGCCATCACCTGGGCAAGTCTTTGTCAGGCTTTAAGATCCCAGTTTAAGGATTCGCGAACGGACGTTGACATCCGTGAATTGATACGAGATCGGAAGCAGAAGGTGAATGAGTCATTCGACACATTCTACGACTCTATAGTCGATTTGACAGATAGACTAAGCGAACCAATTTCCAACAGAACCTTAGTAGAGATATTGCGTAGGAATCTCTTACCCGAGATTCAACATGAAATCTTGAATATTGAAATCAATTCGATACAAGAGCTTCGCAATACTTGTAGAAAACGCGAGTTTTTTATGCAGGACGTTCGGCGACGGCACGGATTGTCCTATTCCAAAAATATACAATTTTCCAAACGTATAGCTGAGGTAGATGTAGTCAGTGACATTGACTCCTGCCCTACTTCCTTTGATAGGTCTGAAGAAGTTTCAGCTTTGGTTCTTATGTGTTGGAACTGTAATAAATCTGGCCATCGGTATCAAGATTGCTTGGCTGAGAGGACAGTGTTTTGTTATGGGTGTGGTGCCCCTAATACATACAAACCAAACTGTCT